TAAAACACGACACAGCGGGGTTAGTTGTAACAGAGTGTTACAATTAAGCCACACACTGTTAGACACCAATTGAACTCACACATTTTTTTTTTAATTTTAAGTGTAATGTTGAGAACTTTTTAAATACAATTATTTTTAATAGAATTTTTTTTGTTTTATTTTGATAGACAAAAAAAAATATTTTATTGCTAATACTACAAATAAATTAATTGTATTATAATGGAAAATAATCCAAATAAATCCAAATGTTTTTATCCAATAAATAAATAAACATTCTGTGCTATGTAGAATAAAAATAATAATTGAGGTACTGAGAAAATATTGCTACTATTAAAAGTAAACTAAATTTAAATTAATTGTGTTTAATCTGCCTTTTTAAGCATGCGTTACAACTAACACTCTGTCTGTTACAACTTGCCCCACAGGTGGGGTAAATAGTAACATTTTTACTCCTGGGACTTTTGGCAACACTGCACAAAAAACATAGGTCCAGCGATCATACTTTCAGTGCTCATTTTTAGGAAAGGCTTGTGTTTTTTTGGTAAAAAAATAAATAAATAAATGGTTTGTCTAACCCCAATACTTTGTTTATTATTTGACCAAATCCAAAAAGTGTTACTTTGTGCCCTGCTCTCCCCTAGTCAAATATTATTTACTGTCTTCATCATGGCAAAGATAAAATAAATCAGTTATTAAAAATTAGTTTTAAAACTATATATATATATATATATATATATATGTCAAAATAATCTAGTTTTTTTCTCTATATTTTGCTTGAATTTAAATGTATTACATTTCCATCTTTAAAGATGTTCAGTGACAAAAATGTTATTTTGTAATTAGGAAATTTGCTTTGTTAAAATGCGCCAAAATGTATTACAGGCCCTAAGGGGTTCAGGTGGTTCAAAAGACCCAACCGCCACTGACAAAGGTCCAGAATTTGTCCCAAACATGAGCACATTTGTTCTAATTGACTGCTATGCCATAATTAATTTATGATAATAGGCCATCGAAGAAGGCAAAGTTATATGTGCTGACTAGTTTTTTATTCATCTAATAAATTACAATAGGCAACATTTTTTTTTTTATTATTATTTAAAACGTTAACAGATTCCTATTTTTGAGACATCAAAAACTGTGGTTATGGTAACCATCTGACAGGCTAATCAAGCAGAAAATGGTGCTTAAATGTAAAAAAAATGAATTATATATTAATTATAAAAAATTTATCGAAAATAAAGCAAATAACTATAAAAAGGTCAATCTTTTGAAAAAAAAGAACCACACTTTTCGCCAGGCTGAGAACGGGCCTGCCATAGGCATGGGGCGATAACCGTTTTCAAGGTATACATTGGTTTGGAAAAGTCAAGGTTTTAAAACCGTCGAAATTTGCTGCTATACCATTCCTAATTAGTAAGATATTTTATTGACTTTTTAGGAAAACAGTATCTCTAGCCGAAAAAATCCAATGATGTTGTTTTAAATTAATTTATTTAAATCTGTGTTTTTGAAACTAATGGAGACAGCAGAAAGCCAATGATTCATTTTAATAATTTAGCCTGACATGTTTACTGCTCTAGAATGTTATAAATGTTTCTTATAATAAAATTAATTGTTTTCAAAGGCAAAACATTTTTAGATTTTTACCCAAACATTTTAAAAGAACATAGGCTATTTTAGAGCCGTAATCACAATACCGTGAAACTGTGATTTTTTTTATCCAGGGTTATCATACCGTCAGAATCTTATACCGGCCAATGCTTAGCCTGCTATATTCACTGAGAAATTGATAAAAATATTCATTTTTCAAAATGAGGTGTACTCATTAATGCTGAGCACTGTGTATTACGATCATGTAAGCACTAGGTGGCAGTGTTTCATCAGTGCTGAGTTGTAGTCAAACAGTTGGCTCTAATTCATCATCATTTCTTTTAGGCAGGACTTGACAGATTTTTTATATGCTCAATATACATCTACCTCCATAATTTTATGGTTAGTACAAATTTAAGGTCGCAGGAAAATTATGNGAGGGGGGTGTATATTGAGCATATAAAAAATCTGTCAAGTCCTGCCTAAAAGAAATGATGATGAATTAGAGCCAACTGTTTGACTACAACTCAGCACTGATGAAACACTGCCACCTAGTGCTTACATGATCGTAATACACAGTGCTCAGCATTAATGAGTACACCTCATTTTGAAAATGAATATTTTTATGCATTTCTCAGTGAATATAGCAG